ACGTAATTGTTCTTCTCGGAGCAGATAATGTCTGCGTATAAATAGTCAAAACAATCATCACAAACAGCTTACCACCAAAAAATTTTAAAACGGGAGGGGTTGATTTCTGGAAAATTGTAGACGAAAATATCAACAGTTTAATAAGGATCTGGAGAAGATCTGATGAACCAAAGATAGAATAAAGATAAAATAATAAAAACAACGAATTTGTACTTGCCATTTGTACTTTGTCACGAACTGTATCTAACTTAACACGAAGACTGACCGGACCGCTTAACCCTTCAACTCTTAAGATCTGATTGTTAATTCTCCCCTCCAGCTGCTACACAGTTCCTTTTAAATTAGTTACGAGAATTTGATGTTAGATCGAGGTAACAACTTCTGCCTGATAAGTATGAGTATTCGCATTTCCTGTTTGCTGAATAATGAAGGGATATTACAGGGAGAGGTTACATGTTGATCATTTCTGGGATTAAAAGTGTAAACTACATAACATCACAGAAAAATATAATACAGCGAGTTTGGTTAGACATCAATACAACCCCTTCCTGACTCCTCTGATTAACACTGAATGGAAATTTCTAGGAGAAGCTGAATATCAAAAAGTTGTATTAAAACAACATGCAAGCAACAGATCTCGAGATCGGCAAGAAGTAATGGAAACGCGTGTTTTTCTACCCTCAATAATAATTCGTGTAATTTTTAGGAAATAGGCAATAATACTTTTTAAGGAGGATGCCAAAAATTTCCTTGCAAAGTATCTTTGTATTCTGTACACTGCTCTGATACTGTTCCTTCTTCCAGCTTACTTGTCAGAGACATTATTCACATCTACTTGCAAAACTTTATTCTTCATGCGCCTGACCCCAGACTCCTCTCAAATTTGTGCGCCTGCCACTATTTTAGATTTTACCCTTTCACGCACGTGAAACAGTTGGGTCGCAATTCGTCGTATTTTGTAATTTTCTTTGTTGTAAAATGCCTAAGAAAAAGACAGGGGCTCGAAAGAAAGCCGAAAAACAAAAAGAACGCCAGCGAGGAATAAGAGAAGGTCGTGATAGACCTATTACGGAATATTTTTGCAATGTGATAATGGTGGGTTTATGCCCTTCATGTTGAGGTCTGAAATTGTTTTACTATTGGGATACTAATTATTTGTTGTTATATTTTCATTTATTAACGAATCAACAGGAATGTGATAAGTGCAAAAGGTAAGGGTGATAGCTCTCAATTCGCTCAGAATATTATGTAAAGAAACATGCTTGTTATTGTGAAGAAATAATTGTAACGATAAACTGTTTAATACTGATTTCCTTTCGTAGGCGCATGGATAAAAACTATAAAATCTCTTTCTTTCCTTTTTTTATAGACGACAGAAAAATCGAGCTTTCTGTTATTTTTGCTCGTCAGTTCAGAAGTTACCTATCTGTGGAAACTGTGGTAAATTTAGCTTTGTACTGTAACAATTGATATTATTTTGAGGAGAGTATTTATGTTGTCCTGAGGAGAAACAAGGAAACTGAAGTTTATTTTATTCTTCTGTGTTGTAGGAAAGACAAAATGTATGTCTAAGGGTGGAGACTGTGTTGTTAAACACGGAACAACTTTTACAACTGGCTTTGGGATGGTGGTGAGTGTTTTTTTATTTTTTCTGAAGAATTTTCAGCTTAAATACCAGCCCTTTTAACCCTTTGACCCCCAAGATCTCATTGTTAATTCTCATTACTGGCTGCCATATAAGTCTTATGACATTTCTTTGGAGAATTTGGTATTGGATCAACCCTATTGATACTTTTCTCTATTCTCATCACTTATCTGTTTGATATTGTATTAATATTGTTGTAGTCACTCATGAGAGTTAAAGAGTTAAAAACACTAAAATTTGTGTACTTTTAATTTTTTTAATTACAAATTGCAGCATGTAATTTTTGTGAGATATATTTTAAGAAATTTAAAGGTCAGCTGCAGTATCATAATTTATCACAATATGTCTTTCCTCTGTTTGTAGGGAGCTATTTGTGATTTCTGTGAGGCTTTTATCTGCCACGGCAAAAAATGTTTAACCACTCATGCTTGTGAATGTGCCATTAGAGATGGTGAATGTATTGAGTGCGAACGAGGTGTCTGGGATCATGGTATGTCTTACATTGCCAAGAGTCAATAATCATGACTTCTTACCAACCAAGCCTTAGTACCTTAGTACTCTACTGGCAAATGTTGGCCTGTGGTTGTGGCAGTACAGGGCAGTATGGATCCAGCGCAGTGAGGTCCATACAAAAAATGATGAAGTTTAAACAGCATTTCATTTATCTCAAATATTAGAGGGAAAACTTTAAATCTGTCTTCTTGTGTGCAAGGTTTCTGGAAAATCTTGAGGCCTGAAAGAAAAAATTTATAGGTCATGTTAAATTTTAAGTGTCTTATGTTAACTCTGATGTTTATATTTATTTGAAATATTTGTTTCTCTCTTGTAAAGGGCTCAGAGGCTTGCAATAAGCACTATTTAAATTCATTGTTTTATTTATTTTATGGCGGGTCATTGCTCTTCTTGGTTCTCTGTAGCTGGAATAGTACCAAATCTTCAATTGCTCTTTTTCTTTTCTAGGTGGACGTGTTTTTGTGTGTTCTTACTGTGCATCATATTTGTGTGAAGATGACCAATTTGAGCATCAAGCCAAATGCCAAGTACTTGAGTCTGAGACATTAAAATGTAAGTTTTTAGATGAATTGGCAAAATACTAGGATTTGTTTGGGAATAAACAGTTTCATTCTCAACTTAAAACATATGATCTTGTTTTGAATAAAAACAAGCTTACTTAGCTTAATTTTGTATTGTGTTAATTTTCTGGGCTGATTAAGTGTGGTTTTATTTTATCTGCCTTTCCCTCTGTACAATCCTTTTGTTTGGTTGGTATTATACAGAGTCCTGTCATGGGAAAGGATTATAAAGAGGGAAAAACAGATGAACTAATTTAGACCAAAATTGTCATAAATCAGCCCAGAAAATTCACATGATACAAAAAGCCAGGTAGGTTTGTTTTTATTCAAAACTCGTTGTGAAGTTTTAGGTTGGGAGTGTGCTATTAATTCCTCTAAAAATAAATATTATTATATTTTTGCCCATTGCACAACATAAACATTTAGTATTTGTACATTTAAGGAGGCTCACTGATTTTTTTAACTCTGGGCTTCCTGTGGCATACCTGGTATATAAAGGGTTGATAGCAAGAGAAATCAGTTGGAGTATGAAGTAGAATCCAGGTAATCTGGCTTTGTGTTTCATTTCACATACACCAGGTGGTTCCTGTAACAGATTAGGTCAATACTCATGCCTCAAGTGCAAGGTAAATTTTCTTTATTTTTCTATTGAAAACATGACATTTTACTTTTTCAGTGGAAAAATTTTGATCATTATTTTCCTCATAGAGTACAGCTAGCTGCCATACAGGCTTTTTTTCTATTAAGCTGTCGATAATAAATTACTTGTTAAACAGTGTGTTAAACAAAGCTCATTCAATCTTTCCTTTTACTGACCTGGTTTGTCACCAAGAGCCTGCAGTCTTGTAGCTCAGTCTATGCGGCTTAGTGAGTTTGAATCCTTATATGGGACTCAAACGAATTAGCTGATGTACAAAGGACCCACTGACCCCTTCCCTCTCTGAAATAGTGTTGAACACCACTTGTAATTTATGTTGCTACTGAAAGCAACTAAACAGTGTCACAGCGTTCCGTGATCAAAACAGAAAAATCATCGATAAACAGAAATGCAAATACACTGTTGCTTCATTTTTTTGTTCACTAACCTGTGTCCCAGCGGGTTTGGAACCCCTCCCCTCCTCCGGTCCATTTCTGCCAGCGGATTTGGACCTCCCGGCCCAAAATGGACCCTGGCCTGAGTGAATGCTTTCAAATATCAAAATTCGTACAGGCATGTTACTGCGACGATCACGTCAAAAGAAAAGGAGTGAAGTACGTCAGAGGACAGCCTATACCCTGTCCAAAATGTGGATACCAGACCAAAGAGACCAAAGATCTGAGCATGTCCAGTAAGTTAACATTTCCAATTCAAAATTCTTTGGCGTTTTCATGGCGTTGTACGTTCGTTGTTTCAGATCATCTCTTTTACTTTTAATTTTAGCTCGTAACTACGCGTATTCTCGTCAACGAAATGATGTGGACTATGACGACGATGATGACTACGGGTCCAGCGGTTTCAGTTACGGGTCAAGTGGGTTCAGTTACGGGTCAGGCGGGTATGCTTACGGGACATCCCACTACGCAGATAATGAAGACGAAGATGAAGATGATAGTGATGAGGATGATGACGAGGAGGAAGAGGAGAAAGAAGAAATTGATGACGATGACGATGACACAGAAGACAAACAGGATAGAAGTGACATGATGGACGACAAGTTGTCTGAATTAAAAGTTTCAGTGTCTTGACCAAACTCAAAGGTTTTCTTGGAATTGGACGACTCTTTGTTATCTGCAGAAACTGGCGTTTATGCAAAGAATGTTTTATTATTGCAGAAGAATAAAATAATGAATTAAATAACAGAGAAGAGTCAGTAGAATCGTACCGGTCAAAAGTTTGAAAATGAACTGACATTTGTAATGTTTGTCCTTGCACATGTACGCATTGTAAAGACTTATAACGTTTTTGAATTAGCGCCTTGACTAGAGGGAAATTGCGCGAATTCTTGTCTCATTCGCATGTAAAATCTTTGATTACGTGAGGCCCGAAGACTGGCGCGTGATCCTCAGAACCAAAAAGGTAAAATAATCTCGCTTAAGTAAACAGCTCTACTTCCGCGCAGTGTTTCTCTCTCGAATTGCTGTTTCAGTTGCCGACAATTTAAACAGAAAGTTAATACTCAAGAGGTAGAAAATTGTAAAAGTCGATTGTTAATGAAAAATTTGACATGGTGCGATGACTTCCTTTATATCATATTTCAACAGGGGCTCAACAAAGATATGTATCTTTCTTTAATTGTTTTATTTTCGGGAAAAAAAAAACTAAATCAAAACAAAAAAAAAAACATTTCAAAAGTGCAATAACAATTTTCAAACTGGATACATGTGATTCGCAAATTAGCCCGCGGAAAACCTGAATTAGCAATCCGTGAAGTAACCATATTATGTTCGTTCGACATCGGATTTTTACAGTTTACAACAATTTTATGTTTTCGTTCAAAACATTTAGATCGTGAGTTCCAAAAGATAGGCAATGTGTTTGATTGGTAACACTGTATGCCTCTGCTAAGATACGTGACAAAATTTTAAATCAGTTTTTGTGTTGAAAATAAATAATCGATTTCATTCAAATAACAATGAAAAGCAAGTTTGTCGGCTGTAGTGCATTTGATTGTCATTCTTAGTTTTATTTATTAATGATTTTACAAGGTTACTTTAACACATTCATTTAACTTTTATCGCAACAGAATTTTTAATATTAACGTAACGCGAAGAAATAAATCTAAACTGTGCTACAAGCTGTCTGGATGATACTTCTCATTCCGAAAATACACCTTGTCAGTGGTCTTAGAGAGTTAAATGAATTGGTTATGTATGAAATCATTCACGGGTTCAATTTTTATATTCTTTGTGTTGGCGTGGTCGACATCTCTTAGTTTCCTACAATGAATCTGTTTGACACTTTGACAGGCGGCGACAAAAGAAACCCAGACTGAATGACTGAAAATTGTTACGAATCTAAACAGAGGTACAGATGTCACAAAGTCAACAGTGGAAGGTCAACAGACGCATAGGTTACCAAAGATTTGATCAACGCAAATAATGAACAGAGGAAAGCCTTGATCACGTCCCTTTTCCCCTCTAATTTTGTCCTGTTTTTTCTTTTTAATTAGCGGTGTCGTATAAAAACAGGTTTATTCGTATTAACCGAGGGGATTTGTTCTCACCTGAAAGTGTTGACAGCTTTCATCACTTGACTCGCTTTAAGACGTCACAAGGATTGCTCAATAACAGGCTTGATACAGTGTTACAAATTTATTTTGAACACGGCATGGACGGTAACAAAGCTAATTACAGCAGATACTTTCAAACTGTAACCTCTATGGATAAGAACAGTACCTCGGCCCCTGGACTCGGGTCACAAGCTCGTCTTCTTGAAGGTTTTGGTTTATCAATCGTTCTCTTTGTCTCGCTGGTGTTAAATCTCTCCGTTTGTGCGATTATCTGGCGAACAAAATCACTACGTGAGAAGGCGACTAATACATTTGTGGCAAACCTGTGCATCGCTAATTTGTTACTGACTGCCTGTGTGATTCCATTTAGCTTGGTGACCATCGTTGAAGATGAACATGCATCTTATTCAAAACTTTTTTGCCAGGTAGGACTGTCAATATTATTGGAATCAATTTGAATTTTAACATGTTTCAATGTAATAGTTTTCACGAGGCATTGCAGTTCTGTTGCGAAACGCTTTTAATATTTAACAAGGTTACCACACAAGAGATCAGTAATCAGTTAACTTAAGTTTTTTTCTTAGTGCAAATCGCTGCAAAATATATTTTTTAACTATTTGAATGTAATGTTGCCGCAAATGCTTTTATAACTCGAATATTGAATGAACTAATTTTGTGTGTGGCAACCAAGTTTTTTCTCCTCGTCCTTACGGTGCTAGTAGTAAGTGATGGGCGAGCCATTGTAAACTGGAAATTTAGCGTACCTTAGCCGACCAATTGTTGCTGAACAGGTAAAACTGTATTTTACAGTTTTCACCACACACAAACAAACAAAGATAAACAAACAAACAAAAACCGCAACTATGGTAAGACTTCGAAAAAAGTGACAGTGCGTAACACAAAGGACCATGTCTACTAGAAGCTCGTATTTGGGACCATCTTAGCTGGCAACAATACAACCTGCGTCTCTCTGCACTCTCTATCTTCTTGACTGTTTCCCAACTGAAATTCTACATCAATTATGGTCGAACAAGATTCCTTCTTTCCAAAATCAATTTTAGTTATTGTTAGTATGTTTTTTAGGGATGATGCTTGACTTGAAAATTGTACTGAATCTGCTTATATTTACGCAGCACACGAAAAGTAAAACTTCCTCAACACTTTGCTACCTAACATCAGTATGCATATTCTCCATTCATTTCCTAAGGTGCTGACAAGGAGAATTTGTTTAACAATCGAGAGTTTCTTTAGTTGGTGATACACTTCCTTTATTCTCATGACCCTTTCACTTGATTCAAGAGTTACTCTGTAAGGAGAAATTTTAAGCCAATCATTCTTGGGTGTCAGAGGGTTAAGGCAACGGTGTACACAGAAATACTGTATTTGATCAATAAAATAAATTTTCTTTGTATCTATAATTTATCTTGTAACAGATGCTTCCTCTATTTTCAGGCAAATGGTTTCATAAGTGTTGTGTCGAGTGTTGCGATTGTCATGACTCTTTGTTGTATAAGTCTTGATCGATACATTGCAGTTACCAGGCCAACACGTTACAAGATCATCGTCACGGTCAAACGTGCTTGGTATACTTTGCTAGTGGTCTGGGGACAAGGACTCTTGTACGCCACGTTTCCCATATTTGGTTGGTCCAGGTACGAGTATCATCCGGGGACTTTACACTGTTCACCAGTATGGACATCAGAGTGTTCCCTGTACATCTATCTGGCAGTTGTGGGATTTGGAATTCCAATGACTGTCATGGTGTTCACGTACATTCGTATTTTCTTCGTCATACGTAGACACGCGCGCAAGGTTTCCACTGTCAAGCGAACGCGACCAAAGGTTCAAAACAATAATTGCAAACTGATTTCTGTGAAACAAAGAGGGAGTGTACAGGCACACTCGACTCAAAATTCATCGAATGAGGACAAGTCCTCGAGTACGGCCGACAAGCTAAACTCTTCAGCTGCAAATGAGCAAATGTTATGTAGCTCTACGGCAAACCTTTCAGAGTTAGACAGCTGTGCCAAGCAATTTGAACTGAATGCGAAAACTGGCGTGGTCAGTGGTTTATATTTGCAAGAAGGCGAAAAAGTACTCTTCGCAACTGAACTGCCGTCTGTTAACACTTGTGACCATGGAGCGCAGTCAAACAGCAGCAACGAGCCTTCAGATGTCCAGCGGAGCAAACGTGGTTTAATTCACGTTACAAACACGCTCAGAAAATTCTGGCCGCGAAAACGCAGGCGCAACCAACGACCGTTATCCAGAGAATTCAAAGTAGCAAAGACTGGTGTGCTGCTGTTGTTTATTTTCATTGTCTTGTGGTTACCTTACATGGTCGTGCATATCTGTTCCTCCGGAGTAAAAGCTCCACCAACTGTGTTTCGATTGACAATGTGGCTTGTGTTCATGAACGGGGTTTTGAATCCTATAGCTTATGCGTTGGGCAATTCGACGGTGAAAATGAAGTTTCAACAGATGTTCGCCACGGTTTTTTCTCTGTGCTGCAAGTGTAGGAGGACTGTAGAACAGCGAGCGACTCCTCGCATGTCAGAAAGAGTCTGAATATTTTTCTCCACGTTCAAACATATTTGCTTGGACAAACGTTTATCGGCATCGAAGGTATAGTCACAAAGACACGTCTTGAAGAGGGGCGATGAACATCTCTCCACCGCCAATATTTCCTCTCACGCTTTCTCTACCCTCCTGTCCCAGCTTATCTTTCCCCTTCTTATCGCT